CGCGCAGGGGACCGCCTGGGCTGGGCAGCAGAAGGTCAGAGTTGGGTCTCCCTCGCCGCGGCAGGGAGACATCGGGGCGGGTTGCCCTGAGCTGTGATCCAATCCGACCCTAGATGTTTCTCCAGAAAGGCCTGCCTGCCTTCTCTCCGCCCCTCGCCGCTCGCTCTCTCCTGGGGCCCTCGGAGAGCCAGACACCAAGCGCGCGCGCTCCCTCTCGCACTCCCGGGTGTCGGCGGTACCTTTGAATCGCGCTCTTCTTTCTCATTCACGTTTTGCCAGCCTCGGAACCTTTTCGGACCCACGTGGCTGCCTCTCTCCCTCTCCATTGGCCAGGAAGTGTGGGGGAGAGCGAAGGGGAGAGGGGTGTGCGGCGGATCGGCGGCGGCGAAGAGATTTTAACTCCGCCCCTTCTCCGGTCGCGGGAAGGGAGCCGAGTCCGGCAATCGGGTGGCGCATCTTCTGAAGCTTGGCTTGGTGGGAAGCTTTCCGCGCGCGTGCGGGGCGGACGCGTGCAAGAACGGGGGCGAAGTTTGTCGCCCTCTGCTTTGCTTGGTTCTTGCCCTGACTTGGACACAGCGCTCAGTAGACCTGGCACACCCGCAAGGAAACGAGTCCCCTCGTTTCACCTCTAGGCTGCCCAGTGCACTCAGGCACACCCACCGGAAGGCCGAGGGCCCGGGTTTTCTTCTTTCCCTGATGGTGAGCAACAGGCAAAGGTGGGCTGAGAGCTCAACCCGTCACCCAGCAGCCGATTCCGAGCGCTCCCTCAGATTCCTCTGCTCGAGATTTCGGGTCCCCTTCAGCTCGGTGCCGGTTTTGTCCCCCGCCCCCAGGCATCCGGCTCAGATCCTTTCCGAGCGCTTCTTTGGCCCGCGGAAGGCCGGGGCTTGGAAGGAGCAGGAGGGCCGGGGGCGCCAGAACGCGTTGGGGCAGATGGATTAGCGGCATGCAGCCCCTCCCGCCCCGCTCCGCAGCGCACGCCTGGGTCCTCCCTCACTGGCTTCCGCTCTCTTTCGTCAGAGGGGCTGTTTTGGCTCTTGGGAGGAATGATTTAAGGGTCGGCGGCAGTGACGTAAGAAATCGTAAACGGGAATTGTAGGCACCGCTTGCCTGAAGTCAAAAGTTTGACGAGGTCTGGAGGAACTTATTGTCGTCCAGTTGGGAAGGACCGCTGCGTTTAGCCAGAGAGCCTTCGTTCCCGAGCCTGCAATTACTACTGAAATTTAACGACCTCCACTGGGTAGAATGTCTTTTGGAGACCCTAACAAGATAACGATCAGAGAGAAATGAGGGCCGTTACATGGGTAATGGGAATTTCTTTACACGCGTAGTTAATTGGAAAATAAAGACTAATCGATATTTATGAACGTATCGATCCAATCCTTTGTAGATCCAGTCTTTCTGTGTCTTCTGTCTCCTTCACCCGCATTTCCGCCCCTTTGCGCTACACGTCTACGCTCCCCACAAAAGCCCCAGGATCACCAGGAGCCATTTGGAAGATCGCACACCATCCTCACACCCCAGTTCCTCCTCCTAGCAGCCTTTGCAAGGAAAACAGGCAGTTCCCGAGGCTGAAAAAGAAGCGACGGACCTATCAGCTCCAGAGAAAGGGTAACAGCAGCAGGGAACCGCAAGCGTTAGGCAGGCAGGCAAGGGGACACCTGCCTTCTGGATGTGAACCCAGCTCCTCTCCCCCAGTCCCTTCTCCAGAGCATTTCTATTAAGCCTAGCAGTTTCGCAAGGAATAAAAACATTTGTCCATGTTAAAGAGCTAGCAATGGAGTGGCGCTCCCAGATTTATGGGATTTCTCAAACATCCTCCTCCCACTCCGTTCCCGGAGTCCGCATCAAAATAGGTTTCCTCATTTGCTTGTGCTCCCGTTGTATGATGGTTGCCAGTTTGAGGAGAGGGAACAGATTGGATAAACTTGCTGGAAAGACCCACTGCCTACTTTCGGAAAACTCGGTCTGGTCGTTGATCATACAGTTTAACTGTTTTACTGGCCCGCAGGATGATTCTGACCCAGCAAGGGTTGTAATGGTTAGGCAAGATCGATCCCAGACCCCTCTTGCAGTCTGCCGAATGCCGGAAAAGTGCCGCTAAGACACCCCTCCCCCTCCCCCGCGCCCACGCCTGTTTCCCACTCCATTCCCGGGGGAGATTTATGGCTGGGCAGGAAGGGGGCTCTGGAGGAGGGAGAAAGGAGGAGCCGCCTTGTCCGCCTGCTTTCAGAAGCACTGGAGGAGGCTCGGCCTCCATTCCTGGTCAGTTTGGCTCCTGCTTCCTGTCCCAGGTCTTGGGAAACTAGAAGCCAAATTCAAAGCTCGGGCTCCCTCGCACCCTGGTCCGAACATTTCCTGCGCGCCTCCTCATCCTGCGGCAAAGGGGCCTCTTGCCCGCTCGTTGCGTTCGGGCGGCGTGGTCTTCGGGCTCTCCCCGACTCCAGCCCCGCGAATCGTTCCCACCTTTGCTGCGAGGCGGTTCGCGCCGTCAGGCTGAGGGGAAGAGGGGTGTCGGGCTCTTTCGGGACGGACCGACCACCCTCTCCTTGAGGTAGAGGTTGGCCGCCCGCTCAAGGATCTGGGGGAGCTTGTTTGAGGGGCTGGGCGAGAAAAACATTTATTCCGTCCAAGTTTATCTAAAAGTACGGGTGGGGTGATGTTTCCGCGAAGGATTCTTGTGTAGAAGGAAAGCTCCCCCAACAACTGGAGGCACCGATTTGCGAGGAGCAAAAAGATGGAAGCCTCATTTCTCCCTCCCCACTTTTCTTTCTTTCTTTCTTTCTTTCTTTCTTTCTTTCTTTCTTTCTTTCTTTCTTTCTTTC